TTTGTATATGATACATTCCAACCCAAGTTATAATCGCTTTATTCCCCTTCAAAAATTATTACATGAAAATCATTACATCACAAAATTTACTAAATCTAATGATATATGTGTTACGTCCTGTAGACTCCACGATTCTTTTCTTTCGTGGAAGATCGATCGTTGTCACTCGGATATTATAGTATTTATGAAATATAAGTAGTTAATAACAGTCTCGGACTGTTTATGGAGAGAGTAATCAAAAAATAATCTACCTCTTATTTTTCACCACGGATCTAAATATCAACCACGGGATTGAAGGCGATGAAATTCCAGACATAGAGACCACGGTTCGTTCAAAACAAAAGATCGCAATAGATTCCTCTTTCGATAGACGAATAAATAATTGAATCAATTCCTAGTAGTAACTCCATACCCTTGGAGATAAAACCCAACACCGGTGACCGATGCTAATTGAACAAAGACTAGATATCAAGTTGCTACGGAAGTTAGAAATCATAGGTTACACCTTTGAAACTCGAAGAGGAATCTGTTTATCGTCATCCAATACCGTGGATTCGTAACGGACGACGATCTTTCTTGATATAGTTCTAAGAAGAGATTGCGAACCTAGCGATAAGTTTCACACGAGACAATCAAAGTTTACACTAGCCACCCACTCCTATCCTTGGCGACACCACCCAAAACTGACCAATCCGATGCAAGAAACGGGGCGGATGACTAAAGTCAATTTCACCAATAAGCTCTCGGTGATCTTAAATTTTTTAAACAAGAGACAACCAGTACCCTTCTGGGGGCAAATCCCGCCAATCAAAATCTTAATCGGTTAAGCTATTACATCCCATAAGGATCCACCTTCAAAAAGAGTCCTATATAAACCGCGATCTCACGAGCCGAGCATCAGTCAAATAGAGTTGAAAATTGACAGTAGTAGTCAAGCAGAATTGAGTTCAAGTTACAAAGCAATAACAGTAGAAGGTAGAGTTGAGTTGAAATAATAGAGTTGTGGCAGCAGAATCAAGTACAATGCGCTACTTCTCCGCATTTTCCTGAGCCGGTCTCGTACCAACAACACCAACAAATCTCAGGAGGGTTCGTCGAAACAAGTGAGTCACATAATCTGATTTTTTTTTCTTTTTTTTGGTTTTTTTTCTTTTCTCTTTCTACCCCACCCTTTCATTATTTGCCGTTTAATGCAGAGCCGGGTATAATATCTATAATTTTCATCAATTCAAATCTCGTAGTAGGTGACCGACCACGTCGCTCCCGGGTTTCCCGCGCGGCTAAATGCCAACGGAGACAGCGGATTAGGGAGGCCCGTCAGCTCCTAGACGAAGCCTATCACGAATTTTTAGCTACCTTGAATAACAGCGATAATATAAATAATAGTGATAATCATAGTAATACTCTAGACCCAGTCTCAGCCCCTTCTTCCCCTAGCATCCCTCACTCTAAATCAACACCTTTGCTCACCTCCAGTTCCTTTCTCTCCACCTACTTCTTCACCTCCGCTTGCGCTACTCTCTCTTTCACCTCCTTCCCCTGACGCGGAATCCATCTCATCTCTCCTAACTCAACGAATTTTTCCCGACACCCCCCCCTTTCCCGTTCTTCCTCTCCCGCTGACTCCACGTCGAGCGTGGAGTTCGTGGCCGAAATTTCCTCAGCTCGTCCTCATTATTATTACCACGATGGTTATCACCGATCCTTGAATTCCCTTTTTTCCCAGTTCCAAATTTCCACCGATCCTCTCCCCCAAGACGCCTTTACTATAACGTTCGAAAACGCAGATCCCGACGAAGTCCGAAACGCCATAACCGGACAACCTCCAGACTCATATCCCTGTTTTCCTTCCCCACTCTCCCCATCCTTTCTTAGTCCCGGTACGTTTTTTTCTAAATTTCTTCCCCCCTTCTTCTTGTACTATTAATGAAATAGTCCAGTAATCACCTTTACTTAATTTGCATCCGCCCTGTGGTTTCCTTCCGCCGAAAATTCTTACACACATTCGCTCTCCTAATTTCACGACACTAATTTTTTTGTATTTATCATCCAGGTCCGCATTAATGTTCGCGAATACACACAGACATATACACTCCCATCTTTATATACTTTTTACTCTTTAAGAAACATTACATCTAAATGTTAAGTAATTTAGTTTAAAGTAAAAAATAGATTGTTAATGAGAACCTAAAATTTAAGCTATTAATATGGACCACGATAAAAATAATAATAATAACTATAATATTCAAATTGTTACTTGCCGCTAATGGAATCATTGGTCAATAAAAATAATTACATGTTTAAATAGAATATTTTAGTGTTAATTTCTTTCATTCCCTCGTATATCGGCCCTGCTAATAAAGATTCGCACACGGTCCTTTCCCGGGTAAAAACGATTCAGTTCGTTGACCTACAATAGGACCTACGATCGTACGACTCTTGAAATCGGAGTCATAGCGTCTTATCGGGACGTTGACCCATATTTTGAAGTCAGCTAAATGCGTTCGACTCGCTCCATCCCCTTCCACTCGGATGCATGCGAGACATAGTGTCTGCTCTAACGTCCTTCCATACTCCATCCTTCTCATTCCTTCTTTCTCTCAAACGATCCATTCATATATTAGGAGTTG